AAGAGGGCGACGAGTATGAAGGACCTCATGGTTGTGAGTGATCCTTGGATTGTCTTGGTGGCTCTGTTATAGTCAGTAGATTAACATTTTTGTGAAGTTGCATTTCAGATATCATCAGTCAAACTTATCTAGTTAATTGTAGAACAATGCAGCGATTGTTTGGTTTTTAAGTTCGTCACGTGCTTAGTGCAATCATGTCTACTAAGCACGCAGAAAATAGGGCATGATGAAAAAGTAATAAAGCGGCGAGTTAACTTACTGCCTCACCTTAATCTTTCAGTACAATCACTTTGAAAATAGGTCATTGTCATCGCTCGAGTTTAAAAATTGTCACCTCGAAGAGAAAGATAGATATAAAGTTATTTTAGACTATAATCTACAACTTTGCCTCTGACTGACTTTAAAATTTTCAATGTGATTTGGTCTTAGAAAAGTCACTTTTGATATCATCTGATCGATGGTCGAACAACTTTTTGTATAGTCTAATGGAACATATCGTCGTTGATTCTGCAATACCTGCTATGTGCACTTTTTGTCCATTTTTAGGTTTGCTCATGATTTGATTGTAAGAAATATAGCGCGTCGAATGGTAATAACTGCTATGTGTTAAAAATTCGCGGTTATTTTTAAATTAAAAAAGAAAAAACCTGTCATGTGTTGGTAGTCAAACAACCGCTCGAAATATCTGCTATGTGCATATAATACACATAGCAGATATTACATTTATAATATTATTGCCAGTGTGTTGCACATAACAGTTTGCGCATGAGTACGTTATCCAGGAAAATCATCCCGCCTCACGTGTTAATGAAAATAGTGCAGTTTTTTGCAGTGTTTTAATTCAAAGTATACCGTAAGTATGATAAAAATTATTAATTATTTGAACCATTATTGAATAAAACTACAGATATAATATTATTGTAGTACTTGCTAAGATAAGACTAATTTTGGCAAATGACATATCATACAAGGAAAGAGAGGGCGGGTGGGCGGGGCTAGGATTTGCTAAGAAAAAAACTAATTTTAGCAAATAACATACCCCCTAAGAAAATAGAGAGAAAGTGGGAGGGACTAGTACTTGCTAAAATAAGACAATTTTTGGGAAATGATATACTTTTTAAGAAAATAGAGGGTGAGTGGGCGGGGCTAGGATTGCATAAGTTAAATTTGCGATTAATAATCTATAAAACTAGAAACTCAATGTTTCCCTCTCAAATAAAGCCATTTAGAACAATTTCAATTTTTTCGGAAATTTTGGGGATTTTTGGAGTCATTTCCCCGCATTTCTCAGTTATTTGACGCCAAATCGTCAAAAATATTTTAGATTCGTAATCTGCGAAAAATTATCTATAAGCCAACCATTTTCCGTTGGGTCAGATCGTCTTTTAACTGTTTCAGACAACAAATTTTTGGAAATTACGAAAAATTTTTCTCACTTTTCTCGCTGATTTTCGGAAATAGTTGAAAAATAGTCGAAAATGTTAAAAGTGCGAAAATCTGTTTTATCTTATTAAATACTAGCCCCGGCCACCCACCCTCTCTCTTCTTAGAGGGTGTCTCATTAGCCAAAATCAGTCTTATCTTAGCAAGTACTAGCTCCGCCCGCCCGCCCTCTACTTTCTTGGAAGGTATGTGTTTTGTCAAAATTAGTCTTATCTTACAAGTACTATTTAATTATTGTTTAATATTTTAGTTTGCCATTTCAATATATAATATAGTAGTTGCTAAGATAAGACTGAGTTTGGCAAATGATATACCTCCTAGAAAAAATACAGGGCGGGTGGGCGGGCCTAGTACTTGCTTAGGTAAGACTGATTTTGGCAAATGACATATCCTACAAGGAAAGAGGGCGGGTGGGCGGGGCTAGTATTTACTAAGAAAGAAACTGATTTTAGCAAATAACATACCCCCTAAGAAAATAGAGAGAAAGTGGGAGGGACTAGTACTTGCGAAAATAAGACAATTTTTGGGAAATGGTATACTCTTTAAGAAAATAGAGGGTGAGTCGGCGGGGCTAAGATTACATAAGTTAAATTTGCGATTAATACTCCATAAAACTAGGAACTCAATGTTTCCCTCTCAAATAAAGCCATTTGGAATAATTTCAAATTTTTTGGAAATTTTGGGGATTTTTGAAATATTTTCCCCGCAGTTCTCTGTTATTTGAAGACCAATTGACAAAAATATTTTATATACGTAATCTGCGAAAAATGATCTATAAGTCAACGATTTTTATTAGTATTATTATCATTATTTTATTTTAATGTTTTTGTATTTTTGGTTTAAATAAAATACTTTCCAATAAAAGTTGTTAATTATATTAATAGAGATTAATTTACATGTATTGTGAAATAAATGACATGTACAAAAGCTGAACTATGAAAAATCTGCTCTGTGAAAATTAGCAACATTAAATGAGTTTTAATAAACAACTGCACTAAAAACGTTATTTTCTGTAAACTAAATGTATCTTAAGCAAATTATTATTTTGTTAAGTGACTAAACCAAACGAACAAGGACTCCCTTTTTTTTGTAATCAGTTTATTGTGTTTCCTGAACAATTTTCAATTTTGCACATAGCAGGTATTGAAGAATCAACGACGATATATTCAAATTTATCGTGTTTGGAGTTAATTATTTATTGTCTGATAATTTTTTCGAGCCACTTTTTGCTTTTCTTGTTTTCTCCTTTTTTTGGAATGGTTGTTCGTGTCTCCTTTCAAGGAATTATCTTTCCTTATCCTTTGGAGTGCTCTTCTATGTTTGTTGGAGATTCGCTGAGTAACGAAGAGATTTTAGTCCAGTTTTTGGAGATACCAAACCCCACCTAGACTAGAAATCCGAATTCAGCAGTCCAAGAATCAAGGTTAGATCATTAAAAAAATATCATTTTAAGACAAAGATTTTCGATTTAGTATTCTACTTCTTTATTCTACTTATCAATATTTACATGATATCTCAGAGTCCTGCAGTTTCTTTGATATAGTCGCGCATCGCCGCCACGTTCCCATAGACACCGGGATACCCGAGCCTACCGCACCCATATCCCCATGAAACTATCCCGCCTAGCAAAAACCCTACTGCCAAGGGCCCTCCCGAGTCTCCCTGGCAGGCGTCCTGGCCGCCTCCGCTGACTCCAGCGCACAGCATCCTCTCGGTGATGCTTCCGGCCCCATAAGCCGCTTTGCAAGCCGCGGGGCTGACTATATCCACGTTAACCGCTTGAAGATGGTTAGAGAGGGCGTCGCCGTCTTCTTCGGTCGTCCCCCAGCCGGTTACAAGGGTCGTGGTACCTTCAGGTCACGTCGTTCCAGCTTGCGGGAGGACAATCTCCAGAGCGTTTGCGTTGAGGTCGATGAGGGCAGATAGTTGGAGGAGGGAGATATCCCAGTCGATGGTATCGCGGTCGTAGTCCGGGTGTTGGTAGATTCTGGCGACGTTGACTTCCTGGCCGTCGGATTCTAGGGTGGAGGTGCCGGCACGGATGGTCAGCTGTCTGGAGGTGATTCTATACAGAGTGTTAATAAAAACGTGCGAATTTGGTGGTGTGGTTACCCGTCGGTGCAGTGGGCGGCCGTGATGACCCAGGTTTGCGACAGTATGGAACCGCCGCAGATGTGGGCGCCGTAGAACTGGACGGAGACCTGCCAGGGTACTTCGGAGATGTCGATGTTTGCGCCTCCGATGATTCTGCCATCAGGGAGGAGGTTTTTAGCGGGCGGAAAAAGTGGAGTGGCTGTATTAAAAAAAAAAATAGGTGTGATTTTTGAATCAAGTTTTGGCTTACTGAAAGCTGATGCCACTAGGAGGGCGACGAGTATGAAGGACCTCATGGTTGTGAGTGTTCCTTGTAACTGGTTCTTTTATAATCAGTAGATTAGCATTTTTGTGAAGTTGCATTTTAGATATCATCGATAAACTATCAAAATAGTGCTGAATTATGATGATCATTCGGAGAGAATTCAATCAAACTTATCTAATAATCGTCGAACAATGCAGTGATTGTTTGGTATTTAAATTTGTCAGGTGCTTGGTGCAATTATCTCTACTAAGTACGCAGAAAATAGGACAGGATGAAAAAGTAAAAAAACTACTTTGAAAATAGGTCATTGTCATTGCTCGAGTTTAAAAATTGCCACTTCAAAGACAAATAAAGATAGATATAAAATTATTTATGGTTTACAACTTTGTCTCTGATTGACGCTAAAATCTTCAATAATAAAAAAACTCGCACTTCTTGGTGGAATTTTAAAAACACTAGTCTGTAAAGGCTACATTGTTGGGATCAGTATTGTTTGTTATAAGGAAAATTCAAGAAATAATTCTATTTACTATGAAAATTTAACATATAAAAATCAAATTTTAACCCAAATAAAAGCTGAATAACAAAAACTTATGATAATTTGTGTAGATTCATGTACATATCGACTTCTTTAGAAATTGGTAGGTGTTGAATAATTGACAACACCCCCAATTGTGAATAAAATAATGGGGACTATGACCTCATGAATTCCCACTTCACTTGTTATCGGTTGCTATGTTACTGTTGCTGTTTATTTTTTTTTAATTTTGTGAATTTGTGAAAAATTCGCTTCATTTTCGTTTGGAAAATACCTCCCTAAATTTTGAGAGTTCGTCGAAGTTCTTCTTGACCCGCTGAGTGGTAGCTCGACTGATGACGATTTGGCTGAGTAGCTCTGTGAGTAACCACCTCTTTTCTGTAATTATCTGTCTATCTGTTAGTATTCGCAGGACCTTTCTTGTTTTTTCCCTTTTTTGGAATGGCTTTTAGACTCTCCTCCAAGGAATTATCGTTTCTTCTCTTTTGGAGTGCTCTTGTACCTCTGTTGAAGATTCGCTGAGATTTTCGTCCTGTGTGGAGATACCAATAATCACCTAGATCATAAAGCTGAATTCAGCAGTCCAAAAATCAAGGTTAGACCATTCAAAAATTGCAACCAGCTTGTCACATTTGACATCATCGTTTTAAGACAAACACATTTTAGATTTAGTACTTCTTTATTCTACTTAACAATATCTACATCACATCTCAGATTCCCGCTGTGTCTGTGATAAAATCGCGCATCGCCGCCACGTTGCCGTAGACTCCGGGGTACCCGGCCCTTGCGCACCCATACCCCCACGAGACGATCCCGGCTAGAGTATCTCCCACGACCAAGGGGCCGCCGGAGTCTCCTTGGCAGGAGTCTTTTCCGCCACCGTTGACACCAGCGCACAGCATCCTGTCGGTGATGCTCCCGTCTCCATAAGCATCGTTGCAAGTCGAGGAGCTGACAATGTCCACGTTGACTCCTTGGAGTTGGTTCGGGAGGTTAACGGCGTCTTCTGAGGTGGTTCCCCAGCCGCTGACGAGAGTCTCGGTACCTTCAGGCCAGGTCTGGCCGGCCTCCGGGAGATTAACCGCAGCGGCGTTACCACTCAGATCGATGGGGGAAGCTAGTTCGAGCAGGGAGATGTCCCAGTCGATGTTGTAGTCGTCGAATTTGGGGTTTTGGTGGATTTTGGCGATGTCGACTTCCTGGCCCCCGGATTCTAGGGTAGAGGTGCCGGCACGGATGTTGAGGTCTTGTTCGCTGGATCTAGACAGGGTGTTAAAAAGTGGTGGATTTGGTGGTGAGTTAGTTACCCGTCGGTGCAGTGGGCGGCCGTGACGACCCACTTTTCCGAAATTATGGAACCGCCGCAGATGTGGGAGCCGTAGTACTGGAGGGAGATTTGCCAGGGTACTTGGGAGATGTCGATGTCTGAACCGCCGACGATTCTGCCGTCAGGGAGCAGGTTTTTGGCCGGCACGAAAGCCGGGGTGGCTACATAAAAAAAAATTAGTGTGATTTTTAATTATTTTTAATTATGTTTTTTTATTGAATTTTGACTTACCTGAAGCTGATGCTACTAGGAGGGCGACTACTATGAAAGACTTCATGGTTGCGAGTGATCTTTAGGTGGCTTGGTGTCCCTTTTATAGCTAGTAGATTAGCATTTTTGCTAAGTTAGGAATCGCGTGTCAGATATGATCGATAAACAATCAAAATAGTCTAGCCGAATGTGTGATGGTCATTCGGAGAGAATCCAATCAAACTTATCTCAGTAATCTTGGAACAATTTCGCGATTGTTTAGTCTGAAGGACCTTTTTGAGTCGTACTTGAGTTGAAGTGTTGTAGTTATCGTTGCAACATCGGTTTTTTGACAAAGTTCAAGACGTACATGCTACGATAATGTATACAAAGTATATAGAAAATAGATAGTGTTTATCTGTTCTCAGGAAGGAAAAGTTTAAGAAAAATTAAAGATAACGTGGTAATATTTTTGAAGGGAACGTGATATTGTCGAAAATGTGGAAAATTTTTAAGTACAGGTAATTACATAAAAGTATAAGTTATCTGTAGCTGAACTTAGAAAGCTAAATAGGTTATATTACATCAACTAGGATCATCCTCGTGGATTCAAAATGATTTATTTTGATAAATGACATTTTTAATTGAATTTACAATTGTTGGAGCTGTTGACCCCCAGCTTTGATACATAAATTGCTGGTCGCTTTAGATGTAAGACTCAAGCATGAATTTCTTACGGTCTTCGGAAAACATATTTCTCGAGGTGAAAATTCTGCTTCTGCGTCAAAAAAATCCTGGATAGTTTTGATTCACTCTCAAATAAAGATTTAGCCCTCAGATAAAAAAAATGATATTTTTTTTTGAATTGTCTATACAGGATGAAAGAAGCAATTAATTTTATTGATTAAACCGAAAAGAGCGTATTAGAATTTCCGAAAACACGCTGCTTCGTTTGAAAATCGTTTCTCGTTTCGAAATCGAGATTAAAACAATCGTCACAACAAAAATGTCAAATCATGGTCTCAAAAACTGACACACACAAATTGTTGCATTTTTTAGTACTTTTCCTTGCGACATTTGATACATTGTAAGCTAAACTTGTATTTAAATATATTGTGAAACACTGATGGTTCGTTGTTATATTTGAAAATGAGATAAAATCAAAAGTAAACACTCGCAGAAATTCTGCGCGGCCTTTAGAACCGTCCTATAAGAAAACCCTTGCAGTGTAGTGCAAGACTACATGTAAGTGCTTCGAATGTGATAATTATTTTCGTGTGTTTAGATAAATTTAAGGTCACCTGTCAAACACGCGCCTCAGAATTTATCTTTTTCAAAAACGAAACCTTGGTAGAAATATTTTCGTCGAAAAATTTCCCTGGAACATGGCCTATTATTATACCTAAGTATTATCAAGTACCAAGGCCTTCAACTCATATCAGATATCTAATGTCCAATTTCAAGTGGAGTACTCTCGAGATCCAATCAGGTCATGATATGCCTCTCCTGTATCTCTTTATCATTGCTGCACTGCAATGATCATCAATCCGATATCAACCAAAAAACTTGACCGAACGAAATTTTGGGGTTGAGCGAAGCCACAACTCGCATTACTCGGGCTCTCCTTAGAAAAAATATTTGCAATCAAATTTCGCCACTCCTCCATTGTCCAGCTTTTTCGTTCGCAATTTATCGACCTATCAGGATTTACCATCAACGACAGATGCAATTCCGTTCCGAACGCAGAAAATATAGAATGGAGCCGCGCTTTTAAATCAATTTTTTATACTCACTTCCTCGTCTGCGGACCCGAAGAAAGTATTCGGAGAATTGGCCGGCAGGTTATTAGTATCGACAATAAATATTTTCTTTTCTCTGTTCGAGTCGATTTTTTCGTTGCCGTAAAGATTTTGTTGCTTTATTTAAAATATTCTTAATTTATATGTAAATATCCTTGGCTAACTGTCCCCCATCGCTAATAAATTAGCCGCCACGGTTCCGAACCGCCCATTACCCACTCGCCAAAAAACACCTGATAGATTGACGTAATTATTATAATAAAATCCACTCCCGATTGATTTGTAACCTCTCGGGTGATTTATTATTATTAAACTAGGAGAGAAAGCGTCGACTTCATCAGAGTGCAAGACACCCATCGATGCCTCTCCGAGATAATCAAATAATCAATAATTAATGCGGTGTTTAAAGAGAATATTAGTATCCCGTAACAAATAAGCGCTTTTGGGCCGGAAACAATTATTCTCGATCAAATTAAATTTCTTCTAGCCTCGGGTCAGCCGTTGATTAGCGAGTGCTAGTAAGTAATTGGTTCTTCTTCTTGTTCTGAGATCATCGCCGTCTAGAATATGCATTAGCCAACTTTTTCTCGAGACCCGTTAGATCGAATTAATTACGAAGTTGACAGCAGCACTCTTTTGAGAGTTTTGTTTCTTAATTAACCCATTCTTTTTTGATGGGGCTAAAAGAGTGTTTCTTGTTGCAGAGCCGTGGTTTGCCTATACCTTATCCTGTGATATCTGGACCGAGTGCATATATCGATCCCGAAGAGGTAAGTCTATGATTGTTTTTAAATGAACGCAAAACCACGCACCCACACTGTTGCGTTTACGCATTTTCTAGAGTTACTAATTTCGTATTTATACATATTCATGCATACATACCTTCAAATAGACTTTACAATGTAATCGTCAGCAGTTTGCCTGAACCTCAAGAAGTTTCTGTCAAGGATAAAAATTAGGATGGCTCGAATAGTTTGAGCAAAATCCTCGTCCGTCGACCCGCCAAAATTTATGCATTCCAAAACGACCACTAGTAGGTTTCTATTGAAATTTGCATCTCGATGATTGGTCTTTTAATAACAGTCGTTCGTAGCTCGATTCGGTGTTGTGCGTGCAACCCATAATTAGGTGAGTGCTGTTGACCGATTCGATAGCTCAGTCAGTCCTTGACTCGCAGCTGAAGAGCAAATGGATTTTATGCTTTACGTAATTTCGTTCGTTCGAACCTAATTGCTAATTTAAAGTTTTTCGAATTAAACGAATATCGGGAGCGCTGATGATAATTTACGGGATTAAAAAACGTTAAGTCGAGCCGGGTTCATTAGAGGCAATTGGCGCGACGACTTTTTTAGTTTACTGGATTTGTGCTATAAATCGGAATTAAATTCTACCTACCGAAAGGAGTAGTTTTTGGGTCATCCCGCACGTCTTCGAGAGGCTCTCCTTCAACTCCTCCGTTCTCATAACTGCTAAGCATACAAAACACGGCAAAACCCCATTGTTAGCGGCCAGCTGTGCTTTCGCATTATCCGTCCAGGCCACAAAAGGAATATAGCGGATCCTGTCCCGTTTGACAAACGTTTCGGAGTGGAAATAAAACGCGCGATTTCCATTTTTGTACCGAGATTAAAAGTTAATAATGAATAATGGGCTTTGCCGTCGATGCTCGACAGCGATGTATATTTCGCGCTGGTGTGGCGGTGCGCGGGGTCAATGAGGGGGAGGTCGGAGGTGACAGATTTTTAACGCTAATGTACACGACTTGAGGCTGAATGGGCGAAATGAATTGGTCGAGGTAGATTTTGAAATTTCGGAGTTGGTGAAAATCGTCAACAATCCGACGACGGACAGACAGACGGACTCCAAAAATATTCACTCAATTTCTCTAAAATAAAACATGTCAGAGAGTATCATATTTTTACAACAATTCCTCACATTTTGGGTTTTACACTTTTTTTAACATAATATTAAAAAAAATAATCTAAAAATTCCTCGTTGGGTTAACCAGACAAAAACGCTTCCCTAGCAGCCAGTGACGCAGGACTAAGATATGACTATCAAATTTCCCGAAAAAAAGCCGGGAGATGGTGAAGCCGTCACGTGTCCGAGTCCCGCTCCATCCTAGATAACTTGTAATTTCGCCGAGTCGATATATCAGAATGGAACTATTACGCACATAAATCACTGTCTCTCCACCCATCTGTCGGTTTTTGTACGGGATGATAAAACTTTCTCTCCCTTCAAGTTTTGGCATATGCAGCGGGATCTCGCCGACAGAAAAAAAAAATCGCACCGACAAGGGGATCCTCCGATCTTGTTACTCGTCTTACAAGGCTCACCTTTTAAAAATTCCTTCGAGATAGAGTCGTCATATCTTATCGCTTCCATACATGTACCAGCATTGTTTTGGTTGTGCGCGCTGCATGTTGATAGTCGCTATCTTCGTTTTGTTGACTTTTTTGCATAATTTCTCTTAACGCTACATAAATTATTACGAATCCACATGTTCCTAACGTATCATATCGATAAGCTCGGCGTGCATTTGCATAGCTTTGTACAGGTTTACCGAGGGATTGCATACAAAGAAGATATTTATCTGTTTTTTTCATTTCCTTGTGAGTGTGCGGAGCGACGTGGAAGAAATCCTGTTCTTGTACGAGTTTGTTTATATTTCCTTGTGGCGAGCGTGCGTGTAGTCGGGTTATGAGAGGCATTGTTCTGTGGAATATTAATTAATTTATTGCTAAGTCGACAGCGCGAGAAAACTATAAGATAGATAGGTTAACCCTCAGCCTCTCAGAAGTCCATTTTAAAGAAGATGAGACATTAATCGTTTCACAAAAAATTGGTTAAGTATTTTTATTTCAATTTTATTTTTACTTCAGGAGCATAAGCTAATACGTATGTATTTTAATTTTGATTTCTTGGAGTTTCGTAAGTCTTAGAATATGAAAGAGTAGCTCTTCCGTTTCGTCTATCTGTTCTTTGTGGTCTACTGACGTCTTTATTACTCTGAAACTACTGATTTACCATCAGTAAGTTGTGAAATTTTAAATACTATGTAGTTAATAAAGCGTTAACCATAATTTGCTTGATTATTCCTATAAAAATGTGATGACGTCATCTCATTTTTCGATCACCTTCGAAAATTAGCTAATGAAATTTTCGTGTAGACCTCGATGCCCAGAAATTATTTTCATTTCGTCTAAAACAAATTCCTACCACTTCTCCAGAATCGCCAATTGAAATCTGGGGATTTTTTACATTTTTTAAAAAATTTTCGATTTCTCAAGTTTGCAATATTTCAGTTGTATGATTTTTCAAATTTTCAATTCTTCAATTTTTCGATTTCTTAATTTTTTGATTATTGACTTTTCGAAATTTCGGTTTTCTGATTTCTCGATTTGCCAAATAATACATCTTTATATTTTCCCATTTCTACTTTTCGATTTCTCTGTTTTCAGTTTTTCGATTTGTAAATTTTGGATTTTTCAGTTTGTCGATTTTGTAAATTTTTTAGTTTTTAAAATTTTCGATTTTTCGATTTTTCAGTTCTTCGATATTCCTTATTTTTCAAATTTTTAGATTTAAGATTTTTCGTTTTTAGAAATGTTTTGGATTATTGGATTTTTTGGTTTTTAAATTTTTGGATTTATTAGTTTTTCGATTTCTCGGTATTTCGACGTTTTGGTTTTTCGACTTTTCGATTTCTTGATTTATCGATTTCTGTTTTCAGATTTTCGATTTGTACATTTTGGATTTTTCAATTTGTTGATGTTTTAATTTTTCAGTTTTTTAAATTTTTGGATTTTTCAATTTTCGAGTTCTTCGATATTCCTTATTTTTCAATTTTTCAAATTTTTAGATTTAAGATTTTTCAGTTTTTTGATGTTTCGATTTCCCGATCCGAGTTCCCGGTTTATGATTTTTTGATTGATTAATTTGTCGATTTTTCAATTTTTCGATTTCTCAGTTTTTCGACTTTTTGATTTTTCGACTTTTCGGTTTTTTCATTTATAGATTTTTGTTAATTTTAAATTTTTCAATTGTTATGTTTTCGATTTTCGATTTTGGCCTATCGAGTTTTCAATTTTTCGCTTTTTCAACTTCTCGACTTTTCGATTTCTCGGTATATTAATTTTTCGATTTCTGGATGTTTCAGTTTTTGAATTTTTCGATTTCTTAGTTTTCCGATTTTTCATGTTTCGATTTTTCGGTTTTTCGATTTCCTAATTTTTCGTCCTTTCAGTTTAGAAATTTTTCAATTCCTTGTTTTATAGTATTACGATTTTTCAGTTTTTCTATTTTTAAAATTTCGCATTCTCGATTTCTGAGTTTTTCGATTTATTAAATTTCAATTTTTTGATTTCTCGATTAATCGAGTTTTTAATTTCCTTATTCACGGCTTTTCAATGTTTCGATTTTTCAGTTTTCGATTTTTCAATTTTTCAGTTTCTCGATTTATCGAGATTTCTGTTTCGAATTTTTTATTGTTCAATTGATTTTTCGATTTCCCGGTTTTCCGATCTTTCAACTTCCATTTTTCGATTTTTTGATTCTTCAATTTTTCGATATGTTAATGTTTCGATTGCTCGTTCTTTCGATTTATCCCCTTGCCGGATTTCGATTTTTCGGTCTTTCAATTTTTCGATTTTTGAAACTTTTGAGTTTTCGATTTTTCGTTTCTAAATTTCAGTTTTTTGATTTCTCGACTAATCGATTTTTCAATGTTTCAATTTTTCGAGATTTCAATGTTTCGATTTTTTGATTGTTCAATTTTCGATTTATCGATTTTTGTTGATTTTAAATTATTTATTTATTAATATATTAATATTAATTCTTTATTCCACTTTTTCAATTTTTAACATTTCGAATTTTCGCTTTTGGCCTATTTCGATTTCTCAGTTTTTCGATTTTTTGACTTCACTCCCTACATTTCTATTTCTCGATCTTTTGATTTTTCGATTCAGTTCAGTTTTTGAATTTTTCGGTTTCTCGGCGTTTTGATTTTTCGACTTTTTGATTTTTCAATTTTCCAGTTTTCGTCTTTCAGTTTTTCGATATTGGATTTTTCGATCTTTCGATTTTTGAATTTTTGGTTTTTCGAAAATTTGTTTCCACTTCTATTGTTTGATTTCTAGATTTTTAAATTCTTGGATTAATGAAATTTTCGGTATTTCGAATTTTCGATTTTTGATTTTTCCAATTTTCTATTTTTCAATTTTTCTATTCTCCCGTTTTTTTACTATTTTCAGTTTTATTACTTTTCGATTTTCAATTTCTCCATTTTTCTATAGTTCAATTTTTTAATTCTCAATACTCCAATTTTCAATCTTTCTACTTTTCGATTTTTGATTTTTCGAATTTTCGATTTTTCGAATATTTGCTTTATCGAATTTTCGTCTTGCAATTTTTCGAAACATCAGTTTGCGAATTTTTCAATTGTAAATTTTTAGATTTTAAAATTTTTCAGTTCTTTGATTTTTGAAATTTTCGATTTTCAATTTTTTGATTTCTCGAGTTTTTGTTTCTCAATACTCGAATTTTCAGTCGTTCTACTTTTCAATTTTTGATTTATCGAATTTTTCTATTCTTCAGTTTTTCGATTTCTCGTTTCTAAATTTCAGTTTTTTGATTTCTCGACTAATCGATGTTTCAATTTTTCGAGATTTCAATGTTTCGATTTTTTTATTGTTCAATTTTCGATTTATCGACTTTTGTTGATTTTAAATTATTTATTTATTAATAAATTAATATTAATTCTTTATTC